TTTTCGATTACTAATCAAAAAATTAATACGGGCACTAAGCCACTAACAAGAAAAAGGATCTTTAAATAATTAGATATGTATGACTAAAATGAGAAAAGTATTTCAATTCTTTGAAGATGAAGTGTTTTTCCTTTGATCATATTAAAAGTATAAAAGTTTCTCATTTAAGAGTAAATGTGTCATATTAAAAGAAATATAATAGTAATTTTATTAGTATACTGATGAAGTTATGGGACTAGGCCCAGAGCCTAATCAGCCCAAGCCCCAAACTTGGACTCGTGGATCCAAGTCCACAATCTGGAGCCTGCCTACCAGCCCAACGGGGAGCTTGCCAGTCGGCCGACCTGCCAACTAGGAAAAGTAACGGTCAAGCAATTAATGCGTAGTTTAATTATGTATTTAATTCCATATTAATATTGTAATTAATTGGTCATTATTATCGACAGCGGTTATGATTTGTATACGCCTATAAAAGGGGAGTTGTAATTCAAAATAAAGGGAGCGAATTCTATATGCTATTCTTGGCTATCAAACTCTTTAGCTACTTTCCATATTCGTATTGCTTTCTTGATTCCTGCTTGAGTGTTCTTACGTAGTTTTCCTAAAAGCTTACGAGTGTCCTATTTTGGACCAACATATACCTTATCTAAATTTTAATCCTATTAAGGAATTTTCTCTAATAATAAATGCATGGTTGTCTAATTAACAAGGTGGCACACTTGAAAGCTTCTCTCATTTCAGGTTGTCAAAGAAACTCTAACTTGCTAATAAATATTCAAATTCAATTCAATTCAATTATATATAATTGTCGGCCTCCCCACTCTCAGGCTCTGTTTAGTTGGAGGATTGTTAAAGAAATGGGGGAAAGTGGATGATTCATTTGTGTTTGGTTTGAGGAAGTAGATGACTTTCCAAACCCTCCACTCTCTTGAACTATAAATTCCCAAAATCATGATACTTTGAACCAAGCAGGGGCTAGAGTTCTACTGTTAGTTTTTGTGGAGGGGTTTTAAGAACACGGAAAGAAGATTTTTTCTCTCGTGAAGTATCTACTCAAAAAACTCCATCTCTAGTGTTTGTTACTGGATTATTTGTAACAAAACCCAATTGTGCTCAACATAATTAGCCATTCTTATTAGTCATTCATTTTTTGATGTATACTTCTGATGCAGGGCCGGTCCTGGGGCATGGGCAAAGGGGCATGCGCCCAGGGCCCATTGCTCCCGTAGGGCCCATAAATTTTCCAATTATGTATATTTACGTAAGTATTTTAAATATATATACATTATATAGAAAATTTAAAATAAAATAAAATGAAATAAAACTTATTTTTTTCATATACTTCAATTCTTTATTTAACAACATCTACATGCTACAAAAGTCTAAAATTTTGTAGCATCCACACCAGAATTCCTTGAGAATAGACTGCATCATTTCTTTAGATTCATTAAGTGTTAGCGCATAAATGTTGATCTTTCCATTTACTTCTCTCATGTAATTCCATGATTCATTGATAATATTTTGCTAAATTCTTTTGGTTCTCTCATGTGAGTGAAAGATTGAATTAAAACATTCAGAATTTAGAAACTTGCACTTTATTTTGATCTAGTGAAACCATGATTTGAAATATGAAGACGTTACTCTATAAACGATATAACTTTCACGTCTCTTTCTAATTCAAAATTCTATATTGCAAGTAACAATTGTACTGTTTAATTTTATGTATAGTTTTTTTAATAAAAAATTTATAAACATTCACATGTTGTCTGTAAGGCCCACATTATCTCTATTGTCCCGGGCCTATAAAATGTCAGGACCGGGCCTGTTCTGATGCCAAGAAAGTACCCACGCACAGGTTTCCTAAACTCTGCTAGATCATCTAAACTCTGCTAATACTCTCCTCTTGTTTTTGTGGATTACAAGAACAATTGATCTTCATATCATTCAATCCCACATAGTTTTGGAAATATAGGTCCATTCTCCAAATCTCAACTACTTCATATTAACAATGAAACATCAATACCTTCGTAGCTTTGGGCTCTTTCACACCAAAATCCATAACATTATTGTCCCCATTTAAATTAATTGTCATTTTCATTCCTATCCACTATGAGACATGATACAAACAAAAATCCCAGGAGTGACACACATCTCTTTTCAATTCCAATAATTCATTACTAGTATTAATCACATTATATACATGTTGTATATCATGATTATATTTAATTCAATAAAAGGATTTATTGTGAAGTAATGGTTATCACGATGTTCTTCTTCCGGCCATTGTCGTAGTCCTCTTTCCTCTTAGAGACCCCCTCCCCTACATTATCATGATATGCAATGCTATTACTTCGCTGGAGCACCTAATGCATAGAAATTGGGGCCTGAAAAGTCCCCATTGCCCAAAATGCTCTCTAAAACCAGGCACCAGCATCCATCCTACTGGACTCACCTACCTCCTAACAACAATAGATACTCCATGACTCACCATACATGTTTATACGCAGGATCAAAACTACGTTGGTACCGGAATAAAATCGGGTTGGAGCCAGAACCTAAATTTACTCGGAAATTCCAATTCTGATTCGGGAAGGCGGGGTTTTAGGTTGGGAACCAAATCGGGCCATAACTATGTTGTGTCCACCCCTACTTGGTCATAAAGTAATGTCTAAAAATACATCAGATAATAATTTCAAAAAATCATAAACATTTGCAAACTAAACATGTGTTACCGAATACAAGAATTAAGAGAAAGCTCATAATTATGGTACCCAAAGTAGCATAAAAACTAATAAATGTACTTGAGATTACACCTAACTACGTCTATTTATCTTAAAAATCTTAATCTTAAATATAATATAAAGAATTTTTTTTTTTTTATATTCTATCTACACCATTTTATATGTTCCAATAATTAATATTTATGTGGTTAACCTAATTCTCTTATACACACTTATATTCTTATCAAATTTCAATTATATTCATACTTTTTTTCATGCATTATTTTATTTTCAATTTTTCAGTCAAACTTTGTATTGAAAACTATTGTAAAAAGGCCTTCTCTTATAGTTTGTGGCAAAAGGAGGACTTCTAATTTATGATACTCTAACAAATTGTCAATTTTTTAGAGTACAAAAAACTTACTATTACAAGTCAAAAACAGATTGAAATGCCAAATTGATCTATTTTTTAAAGAAAGTGTTCATTTATGATACTTTTCTTTACTACAGAGGCTGGAGTAGGCATGGACCGGTCCCGGGCCGGGCCCCGGGCCGGTCCTGGGCGGGCTTTTTGGGTTTGGCTTCGGGCCCGGAACCGGCCCGGGTTCCCACCGGGTCCGGGCCGGGTCAAGCCACGGGCCGGTTGGCCCGGAACTGGTCTCTGACCGGCCCACGAGGTTAATGGCATTAGGTAATTAGGTTGTTACTTGTTATTGTATAGTGGTTAGTGAGTTGAAATTATTGTTATAAACTTCTCGTACTTGAATTAAGTTGTAAAATTCTTCAAACTCTATATTTTTAGTGAGATTTTTTTAATAATACTACATATGAACCCAAATTAAAGAACCCAAATTGAAACGACATATGTTTAGTTTAGACTTTAGACCGACACATTCCTATCCAAGATTTTGATTTGGTAAAAATGTGAAATCAAAATGCATGGTTAATTAGGCACTTGACCAAACAAAAACACTCATTTATATGTCTAGGCTTAAAATTAGATTGAGAACACTTTAGAGATTTAGGTTTAACTAGTTACTCCACTCGTGCATTTGGGTTTGTTACTCCACAAACTGTAACATGCAACTGTTAATGCGTAAAAATGGGGAAACGGAGGAAAATGCCAACATATTCATTGATTTTATTTGGCTCTTATTCGTTGTCATTGCATAGCTAACTACTGATGACACTTATCTGACTGTTTTTGTTATAAAGTGGGTGAGAGCCTAACATCATGCGGAGTTATCTGACTGTTTTTGCATCATTAGAGCCTCGATGATATGAGCTCCAAATTTAATCACAAGAAGTCATGTACCATTGCACAATCAAAATGAATTATCTATATTCCTCATAAGCATCACAAACACCTCCACTTTCAAGTTTAGCTCATGACTTAGCAAACCAAAACATTTAAAGATTCTAAGAAATTCCGAAGAAATATATCTAGTGTTCCTACACTAGATGAGCTAGTCTGTAATCTATCTTACTTTACATGTAATCTTTGACTTTATCAACTTCTTCTATGGTGAGAGTAAGAATAACATTGAAGTAAAGATACTAAATTGTGTCGCTCTAAATTAAGAAGTCATGATAAATAGTTTGAATCATAGACTCAACACAATTCGAAGTTATTACAAAAATCATATCGCCCGATGTACCAAGGAGTGGTTCTCCATATCGATATCCGTAAAAGCATCACCTCAATATGTATAATCTAGTTCGCTAAATGATTGTATACCTGGGCCTTCTTATCAGCAGCCATCCTTGCAAGCAGCTGTAGGGGCCGGGCTAGGGGTGGACCCGGGCCGGTTCGGGCCTAGGCCCGGCCGGGCCTCGGGCCAAAAAACTGGGGGCCGAACCCGAACTGCCGGTGGCCAGTTCCGGGCCAAACCAGTCCATTTTTTTTGGTTCTCCTATTTAACCCCCTACCCCTCCCCCTCAACCTCAAACCACCTCAAATGGCCCAAAATACCTAATCCAACCCAAAACTTAAAAAAAATTCAAAAAAAAAATTAAAAACCGGCCCAGACCGGGCCCTAACCGGCCGGGCCGATTCACCTAAAGCAGGGCTCGAGCCCGGACCGCCCATCACCCGGGCCGGGCCAAACCGAACCGATGGACCCACCGGGCCCCGGGCCGGGCCGGGCCAAATAGTAACCGGGCCGGTTCCGGGTCGGGCCGCCCGGCCCGAGTCCACCCTTAGGCCGGGCTAGGCCTCGACCCACATGGGCCACAAAAAAGAGTTCAAGGACACGTGTATAATATCCTACATTGTGCATTTCAGAATTGACTTATATTATAAAGATCATAATTTCAACATGGGAGGAGGATGAAGAAAAAGCCTACTGTATTTTTTAGTTATTAGTTCATATGTACGAACGGTAACTAGAAACATTTATAATGCATGTTTTAATTAGCTCATTTTTGTTTCTCTATTTATCTTTGGGTTCCTATCTAATGATCCAATGCATAACCCTGGACGTGAAGAATAAAATAAAAGGAATTTTAAAATGAAGCATTCCTCATTTTTTTGATAGGAAAATTCGTTCAACCCACTCCAAAATGAAGCCTGCAACTCAATATTGATGAAGCCGTCCACCTGCTGCCAAACTTAACTCGCCCTGCTGCATTCTGCAAAAACATACCTTGTAGTTTCCCCCTCGTCTCGGCAAAAAACACACTGGCCTGGCCTTTCCCTCCTCGCCTGAAGTTTATCGGCAGTGGGTAAGCAACCCGAGCACTGCCAGAAGAAAACTTTAACTTTAGGTGGGATAAAGAATCCACATTTTAGTCCACCCCTTCCAACCTTCCGAATCGAATTCCCCCATTAGAAACATGTTACAACTTCGTACTGAAAACTGGCCATTTTCCTCCCAATCCCACACAATACGATCAGGTACACTCGTCCAACCCACTGGAATGCTTTCTACCAAGTTCTGGTCGCGTGGCTCCAAGAGGTCCCGCACCACATCAGTATCCCAGCAGCGCTTCCCCGGGTAAAATAGTCCCTGCACCAGACAGTTCTCCAGGCCATGAATTGGAGTAGATTGTGCTCTCAATTGCTCTAGACTTGGTAGCCATGGATCATCCCATATGTGAACTGACTTGCCATCCCCAATACACCACCGATACCATGCCAAGACAACCAGTTTAGCCTCCCAAATACTCCTCCATATGAAAGACGGTTTGCTCCCAATACTTGATTCCCGAAATGAGGCCTTTGGATAAAATTGTGCCTTATAGATCCTAGCAACCAACGTATTAGATTCCATCAATAATCTCCAGACTTGCTTACCAAGTATGGAAAGATTAAAATGTTTAACTCTTCTAAAACCGAGCCCCCTTACTTCTTCGGGATGAGAACAAGATGAGTATGATTTATCCTGTTTGGTAACTTGTCATACTCAAAGACATTCCTACAGTACCCAACGATGTTCGAACCCACTACATCCCAAAAATATTGGCAGGAACCCGAACTAAGTCCATCTGGCCCAGGAGATTTGCTTGAGTGCATAGTAAACACGGCACTCCAAACCTCCTCATAGGTCACTGGCCGAAGAAAATTTAGATTATGCTCCTCACTTCCTGTGAACTACATCCAACACCACCATCAGACCTCCTCCAACCATCACCCACATCTCCATCCTGAACTCCCATGGACTCAGCATCCACCGCCCCCTTCTCCTAATCCTCCATCCCTGACCAACCACCTGTTAGTAACGGCAAAGGTATTATTTCCTTAGTTTTGTGTAGTTTTGAGTTTGTTAGTTCCCCATTCTCTACATCGTTCCAGATTAAGTTCAGAAAGTTGAGAATGCAATGAAAAACTTAACGTCAATAACTCTCTACACATCATATCATCTCTCAGAATTAAAATTAATGAACTAACCCAATCTACGTAAACTAAATTCTTTATCACAAACAAATTGTGCAAATACAATGTAGTGTATAGGAAAACCAAATTTTACAGAAAGTACATAGTTCAATTAAGCATTCAAAGACTCGACAAGCTTGTTGTTTCTTATTCTATCATCCTCCTACAATATACATATCACATTTTAAAATGTATAAGATTTTAAAATCACTACCATAGGAATTTTATGATAAAGAGAGAGAAAACATAGATCATTGCCGGGTGTTTTTTTTGAATGATCTAGATTAAGTATGTGTTTGAGGAACAATGTAAAATATGCATCTTTGATCGTTTTTTTACCGGGACTTAGGGTATGTTTGACACAACTAGCTGAAAATATACTTATGTGAGCTTTTTTATAACTGTTACATACGCTATTTGAGAGAGTTGGGCCGGCAGTTTCATTTTGAAATCTATCTATCAAGCAGGTGGAACCGGAACTTCGGAAGTGAAGGTAGGATCAATCCCCATCTTAAGGTTATACCTAGCGCTCGCTTAGCCGCATCATCGTTTGGACAGGAAGTAGACAAAACAAACTGAAAAACGTAAGTAGGGACTTTACGTGTGTCAACGAAATGACACACATAACATGAGTCACTTCTCTTATGATAACTCAAAAGCTGCCTTGTTAAGAATAACTGCACAGCGGCAGAATGAATTCTTGGGACTGAGTTCTATTCAAGATTCAAGTGAGGTAAAATACTAGTGACTGAAAAGATCTTAAAAGGAAAATATGGTAACTATTTGGTATAAATCATTCAATTGAAATCTATACAATTCTATTAAAATCCATCACATCTATACAGAATCTATGTAATTCCATTAAATTCTACAAAATCCACACTCTTTTAAAATCCATCAAAATCTTTGTTGGGGACACCCCCCTTAAATTTGTTTGGTATACAAGCTGTTAGGACTAATTAATACTAAAAGTCACAGACTTTTCTTAGAAACAACTCATTGTAGCATCTCAAAAAAGATCTTTTATTTTTTGAAAAACTATTAAAATTTATCATGTCAAATATACAACTAGAAGCTTTTAGAGACTTTTTAACTAGTATAAAAGCTAGAAAGCGTAGACTTGCCAAACATGCACTTAGATGTTAAAGTTGCTGTTTTTCAACCATCTCATCATATGTTATTAATGTGAATGAAAGAATGTAAAGAGATAAGATGGGAATAAAATCAACCAGAAACAATTCGTCATAGTCGAGAAGAAATAATTTACTCTAAAAATTGAAACTTTAATCTACATGTCATTAGACTTTTTACACTTTCAGTATAAAAATAGAAGAATTAAAAACAATTTAAGTTGCTTCATTTTCTCTACCTTTACATAGTAGAGCCCATATCGATATTTGAGCCGACCACAATAACTAGTATCACTATTTATTCATCCACCTCCACATCTAGATTCCCTAATCCTTTGTTTAGCTCAACTCCAACTTCTACCATTAAAAAATTTCAACCCCTTCTACACAAAATAATGTGGCTTGGCTTTAATGGGTCTATAAAAAATTCCAGGATCTTCCATTTATATAGCAAACACACGGGCTGAGGAGGGGCTATTAAGGTATGGGATAAAATCCTAGTGTTTTTAGTAATTTTAGACTTCTGCTCTTATAGGTTAGTTTATATTTTGAAGAATGTATTCATTTTTATTAGATTTCTAACTTTTAAATGTAGTTATATTATTAGAGATATTAAGTTCTGTGGTATTTCCAAACACTAACTATAGCAAATTATGATAAAATATGGCTCTAATTTCCCTTCTCAAATACTCCCTCCGTCCTTAAAATTTCGTCATCTTTTTTTTTTGGTCCCTAAAAATTTTATCACTTTCTCTTTTGATCAATCAATTTGTGGTTCCTATAATTTCTCTCCTCCGCGCAAATCTCAACTACACAATTTTAACTTTATTATTTTCCATGCCGGTGAAACTTGACTGGACGGCGAGTCCTATCAGACCATCCTGATATGAACTCAATCTCTATGTGTGTGTGTGTGTAAAATTCTTAATAAATAGTTAGCCCCAATATCATTCTGACAATTTATACACACAAATTAGGAAAGGAAGTAAATTACTAGACAAAATAATACTCCGTATGTATATAGTTAGGAGTGTGCTTTTTTGTGGCTGCCCAAAATGCCTGCTCTCAAGTCCGATTTACAGCACGAAAATGCAATAGAACAACAAAAACCACTCAAATATAAGACAACTTAACTGAAGTTCGATAAAATTGTGATGGAAATTAGCCTATAGACTTACTCTAAACTGCCTAAAATCGACCTAAAACTAGTCAAAAGACTACCTGTCTCAAGTTGCAGCTATTCTTGTTCGCAGCAAGACCAAAGCTGCATATTATATATGTCGTAGCTCAAAACCTGTCAAAAAGAGGATAAAACCATGACCACATGTGAAGGGAAGATGACCATTTATTTCATGTATTAAGGTATCATTGCCCACACAAACACTGGCTTATCCACACTATGACAAAGTGGTACCTTCACATGAAAACTAAAATTAGAATAACAAAATACTCTTTCATTACCTCTATTTAAGTACTACTTGCACATAAATTCCAATAATTTGTTGCACTCTTGCACCATCAGGAAGAAAGAAACAACTTCCAAGGCTAATTTAAAAAAAAAAACATGAATTGATGAGCATAATGTGTAGTTTTTCTCTTGAACATCAAGTTTGACAATATATTTATTTTCTCAAATTTAAAACTTAAAGGATGAAAGAAGATCAGTTCCTGCTCGTCAGTTCCATGTGATCAAATATCTTTTCTTCGTACAGCATTGTAAGGTAAATTAAAAACATAATTTATATTGTTATATGCATGTAGGTTGTTTCAGCTATTGAAAATAACCTATCTATTGTTGGTCACAGAGATCACAACCATGTATTTAAGTAAAGATAAAGTGAAGATCTTAAAAACTACCTGTAGTCACATTCTAACCCAACAAACCTAATGCAATTTCCAGATAATCACTCTAACATCCATTTCAGAATTTACTTGAAGACAATATGAAAACAATTAAGGAACTTATTGTTTGAAATTGAAAAAAAAAAAATATGAATAAGTGTGATGATATATGATCAAAGCTTATTACTCTGTTTATGAATTATCAGGGTGAGATTATCTAACATAATTGAGATTAACATAGTTAGCTTAATAGAAAACTCAATCTAACTAAATCAAGAAATAGCAAATGTTTCACAAGAATTGTGTAGGTGATCTGTATTAAACTTTTACTTCAAAATTTGCAAATATCAGATGGTAGAGAGACATTCCTATATATGAATTATATATAATCATACCTGTAATTCTCAGCAGCAGATTTGAAGTTCTATAGGTGCATGTGAGCCCATGCCAAGATGGAAAGGGCAACCTGCATTTCATTTTCAAGAAGCAGTTATATCAAGTGACCCTTAATCACCATCATTATTCAAACTTTTAATTCAATATTTGCAAATATCAGATGGTAGAGAGACATTCCTAGATGCGAATTATATATAATCATACCTGTAATTCTCAGCAACAGATTTGAAGTTCTTTAGGTGCATGTGAGCCCATGCCAAGATGGAAAGGGCAGCCTGCATTCATTTTAAAGAAGCAGTTATATCAAGTGACCCTTGATCACCATCATTATTCAAGCTACTACTGAGCAATGCAGCCATTTTTTACTCTCCCCTAATCCTTTAACGTGAAAATCTCATCTTCTTTATTAAACAGGGAGTTGAGATTTTTGAATCTACACAGAAGGCTTATATAGCTTAGATTTTAGTGTATCCTTTGCCATCATACTACTCATGTACACTATTGTAGAAAAATGTATTTGAACTATAATGAGCATCAGAACCCAAACACATAAGAAAATGATTATTAGGTGAATTACTCCAGTCCAAGAAAATTAATAACACGGATAGATAAATTAAATACTGATCAAGATAAAGGAAAAATATCTACTCATTCGTGCATATAAAACTTAAAAGATGTAATTAAACTCCAACTCCATATTTCAAACCACTTTTCATGCTCAATTGGAGTTAGAGTTTAATTACATCATAAGAGCAGCACCTAGACAATAAGGCAATGAAAAAAATAGTAAAAAAAGATAGTAACTCCATATTTCAATTTTCAAACCATTCATGAATCAACTATGACTAAATCTGAAATTTCATTGCAAAATTGGTGCTCCGAGTGAAAATTTGATACAAACGATGTCATTGTGAAATTAAATTCATGCTCAATTGAAAAGCAAGTATAAATTTAAGAACCGGATCATGCTCAAGTAAAAGGCCAACTACAGATGGTATTAACTTCAAATTAATCTGCAAGTTGTTTTTTGTAAACAAGGTTAATCCCTTTTACAATTTACATATGTGTGTACTAGGGATTGAGGGAAATGACTCAAGTCTGTACTTAGCCTTCTTACCTGAACTCTCTTGGAGTGTAAACAATACGGAGTATTAGATTACTATGGATGAGGTTATATGCTGAAGTTATATTCACATCTAACAAAACAGGTTTGAATAATCTCTTTTAGGGCTTACATTGGTAGCAGACTTGAGATTGAGGGACATGGTTTGGTTAATTTACACACAACATAAAAACTAAAATTAATTAAAAAAGCAAATATCTAAGGAAAATTAAAAAGAAAGCTAATCTGGAATCTGGATGAATATAGAAAAGAAAAGAAAAGAAAAGAAAAGAAAAGAAAAGAAAAGAAAATTAACCTGGATGAATATAGAAGACATCTGAACGGGAATTCATTTCAGATTAGAGGGTGTGGGCGCTCATTTGCAGTTCAACGCCGTTAATGGAGGGCTCGGTTGCCTTGGCAGAGGCACGAAGTGTGGGGCATTGATGGATTCAACCGGCGAAGGTGGTTTCATCTTCCAGTTCGGCTGAGAGAGGCAGAGAAACTCCTCGAGCTCTTCAATTGCAAAAAATGATCACCGGCTTGGTGAGGAGAGCTCCAGAACAGAATGGATATGATGGTGAGGTGAAGCAATTGATGGAAATCGCAAAAGACATTTCTGGTGAAGAAGAAAAAGGAGAAGGTAGAAAGTCGGCGGAGGTGAGCTGAATTGGAGAAATGTGAAGTGGAGAAATTACCTTTCTCTGGGGCTATACCACCTAAATGTAACAACTTTCAGGGGCTGTATACACGTGACCTACTTTTATCAATTAAACTATAGCCAATTTGCCTACTCATCTTCCTGGCTACTGCAACCTCCCGAATCTGCACTGAGGCATCAAAATCCCCAATTTCAGCATAAAAGTTTGAGACTAGAAACCAAACAGCAGGGTCATCTGGCCTAAGTTCCATCAGTTTTTCTGCAGCTCTCCTTCCAGCTTGCTCATTTCTATGAGTACGACAACTACGTAGGAGTGAACTCCACATGACACAATCTCCCTCAAGCGCTGCACAATTGATCAAATCTTCTGCCTCACTTACCAGGCCTATGCGACCTAGAAGGTCCACCATGCATGAAAAATGCCGTCTGTCTGGATGAATTCCATGAACTGTGTCCATCGAATCAAAGACTGTTCTTGCCTCTTTCACCATGCCTGAGTGGCTACATCCAATCAATACACACAAGAATGTTACTTCATCGGGTTGTAGGCCTTTTTGGATCATGGACTCGAACATCGTAAGTGCCTCACTTCCTTTCCCTATCCTTGCATATGCGTTAATCATAGCAGTAAAGCATATGTCATTTGGCGAAAGAACTTGCCTGAAAATTTGCTCAGACTGTTTAATGTGACCAGATTTTGAATATGTATCTATCAGGGAGCACAAAACTACAAAGTCGGATTCAAACCCTGATTTTATTGCACAACAATGAAGCAAACCACAGCTATTCAAGCTTACATAGGCCGACTGTGATAATGCCTTCAGAGCTGTAGACAGACTTACATCATCAAATCCAATGCTTTCATCAAGCATAAAATAGAACAGTTCAAATACATCCTTTATAATGTTGTGGTGCAGTAAGGAAGTCATCAAGGAGTTGCAACATTCAAGAGTTGACTCAGGTGCATTCTCAAATAAAGACACGGAACCTTCAATGTGACCACACTTTCCATACATATTAATCAATGCAGACTGAATAAGAACATTTCCACAATCAAGTCCCAGTTTTAAGACACAACAATGAATTTGCTTTCCAAGCAGCATATGTTTTCTCACACTTGATACATTTAAAAGTCCCAAAAAAGATTGTGCTGATGGCCTCTTGCCCAAATATTGCATTTCTCCAAACACTTTCAAAGCATCATGTAAAAGACCATTGGAAGCATAGACAGAAACCACGGAATTCCATGATATCACATCTTGTGGTGGAATAGCAAGAAACAATTCCCTGGCATCACTTAAGACCCCACAAGCAGAGTAGAAATCAACCAGACCATTAGCTATAAACACATTCATAACTAACCATCCATTCTTCAAAACAAAACAATGCAGTTGCCTTCCTTGAAGAAGAAGTCTCCCACTACCACAACCGCGAAGCAAATAACAAAAACTAAGTTCATTAGGTTCCACATTTGCCAACTTCATATCAGTGTAAACACTTAATAACTCCTTTGACCAACCTACATCACTAATTCCACGTAATACAACGTTCCATATAGCTAAATTTCTTTCTGGTAAGTCGTAAAACAACTTCAAAGAAAGACCTACAAGACCTGCTTTCATATACAGATCAACAAGTGCACTAGCAATATATAAGTTAACATTCAACCCAAAGATTATAACTCTACAATGCACCTCAAACCCTTGTCTGTAAAAACCTGCATTGTTACATATACTCAAAACAGAGGAGAAAGTGGAGGAGTTCTCAACTATTCCTTGGGAGATCATTCTCTTGTAAAAGTAGAGAGATTTCCTCTGAAATCCAGATTGATTGAGCCCATTAATTACAGTGTTCCAGGAGATGACATCACGTTCCGGCATTTCATCGAACAGTTGTAAGGCTGACTCGGTCGATCCACACTTAAATAGTTTATCAATGGCTCTGTTGAACGAGTAAATGCTGGCATCCCCAGTTTGAAAGCAATTTGACGAGGATGAAGAGAATACTCTGATGATTAGCTTGAAGTATGGACAAAACGCGGCGGTTCTTGTGAAATGTGACAGCCATCTTCTTTTGCTTGTCATGACAAAGAAATAGGACAATTATTGAACGAATTAACGGTAAGGAACTTGGAATATGACCGCCGGAAGACTGACGTCGTCGCTTGATATAAAGAATCTCCATAAATGTTGCATCTGTCCTTTTTAATACCACAAAGTAATATCATCTTCATATATACTCCTAGGCTGGAGCAAATACACATGTGAGAAGTCCTGAACAGTCCGAAGTAGGAACGCCATCTGCTAGAAATTCATTTTGGTATTTCTCAATGGAAATAATGTTTGCAGCATCATCTCAACAATTAGACCCGACTTCCCAAAGCTTTTTAATTTGGGTTGTAAGGTACTCACGGTACAACCAGTTATTTTTGAAATTAATTAATTACAACTCAAGTGGTAAAGATTAGGTATTGCAATTGTGATATCTCAAGGAAAAGATCTTTTTTCGTGTTTTTCGTGTTTGCGATTGCTTCTACTATAAAAAAGTGATGTTTTAAAGTGATTTTGGATAAAGTACTTAATAGTAAAAGTTGATAGTGTTTGAGAAAAAAGTGATTCTGAAAAAGTAAAAGTTGGTAGTGTTTGGTAAAATAAGTGCTTTTTAAGTAATAGAAAAAGTGAAAAGCAGTTTAAAGCACCCTTCCACCTGCTTCCAGCTTTTAGCTTTAAAGTGATTAATTTAAGCAGAAGCTGTCATTTGAAAACACTCTTTTCAGCTTTTTTTAATCCAAAAGCTCAAAAGCACTTATTTTAAGGAAGTGCAAACACTCCTTCAATTTGGGTTGTAAGGTGCTCGCCTTACAACCAGTTATTTTTGAAAAGTGGTAAAGATTAGGAATGAAGAAGGCCAGAGTTCTGTTTGCTTCGCGCTAGTGCTGGACTCGGCCCGGACCGGAACCGGCCCGGCCTGGTTACTGTTTGGCCCGGACCGGCCCGGGGCCCGGTGGGTCCACCGGTTCGGTTCGGCCCGGCCCGGCTGCTGGGCGGTTCGGGCTCGGGCCCTTTTTTGGTGAACCGGCCCGGCCGGTTCGGGCCGGTTTTTAATTTTTTTTTTTTTTTGAATTTTTTTTAAGTTTTGGGTTGGATTAGGTATTTTGGACCATTTGAGGTAGTTTGGGGTGGTTTGGGGTTGAGGGGGAGGGGTTGGGGGTTAAATAGAAGAGCCAAAAAAAAAAGGAAAAATTGAAAATAATAATCCGAACTATTGCCGGTCCGCTGAAAATAATCTCAACTATTGATTATTTTTGTATAATCTCAACTATATAGACTATCCGCCAATCATGGTCCATGACCATATATTACCTCTATAAAAAGTGAATTTTAAATAGAAATTAAGCGTAAAAATTAAAAGTTGAGATTATTTATAAGGATTACTTGTTATATCTCACCCCACCCACTTTAGAAACTACAAGAATTTATTCATCGGGACCATTATTGGCGGAAGGTCCCTAAAGTTGGGATTATTGTGTAATAATCAATATTTGGGATTATTATGAGCGGACCGCCAATAGTTGGGATTATTACTATCAATTTTTCCAAAAAAAAAATATATATAACCGGTTAGGCCCGGCCCGGCCCGGTTTGGCCCGGAACCGGAACCGCCCACCTGCGGTTCGGGCTCGGGCCCAACTTTCCTGGCCCGAGGCCCGGCCGGGCCCGGGCCCGAACCGGCCCGAGTCCAGCACTACTTCGCCCTGATGTCCTGGGAATCTACGGAGGAGGTGCAGATGTTTGGCACTTACGTTTTTTTGTTTTGTTTTTTCTTTTCTTCCTTTCCTGCTTTAACTTGTTTCCTTCTTTCTTTTTTCTTTTGTTTTTTTTTACTTTAATGTTATTCAATTATAAAATATTTTATGTATTTTGTAAGTTACAAATGCTCATTTGATATCGGTTTAATGTTAATTTTAAAATATCATTTCGATACTCATTTCGTAAATTATTTATCCTCATTTGATATTGGTATAATACTCATTTTAAAATGAGCATTACACATACATTTTAAAATGTCATATTCATGCATATTGGTGTAATGCTCATTTTAGTTTTTTCGATGCTCATTTCATAGGTTCTGCATTCTCATTTACTATTTGAGCATACTAGAGATTTTAAGCGAGTTTTTTGAATTTTTTCGATACTCGTTTTGTAAGTATGTATGCTCATTTTATTTTGGTGTAATACTCATGTTGTAAGTTACTTATGCTCATTTGATATTGACGTTATGCTCATTTGTAAAGTGTTATATCAATGCATATTTCAAAACTATCAAATTACATTAGATTTGCATACAAAAATTCATAAGAGTTGAATGTAAATATAATTTAATAAGTTTTTATTAAAGATAAAATAAGAAAAAGAAAGTGAAATACTCCCTCCGTCCCAGGGAGAAGTTCCCAATTTCCTTATTTGGATGTCCCAAAAGAAACTTCTCATTTCCCTAAATGGAAAGTTATCCTACATTAAAACAGTGCTAAACAGTGTCAAACAGTGTCGAAACAATGCCAAACAGTGTCGAAACAGTGCAAAACAGTAAAATTTACCCCTCAGTAACTTTATTTCCTAAAAATGTGTGAAAGTCAACCCGGGAACTTCTCCCTGGGACGGAGGGAGTAAAAGATATGAAGCAGGGATCATGTTGCTCATTGTTAGGCTCTTAATATTCAACATAATAACTCTGTTGCTCACTACAAATGCATTAATACTCATTTCGCGATAGTCGCGACTTTTACTTAAATTACTAAAATGCCACCGGTTGTACAGTGCTCACTGTACAGCTGTAACACCCGCTACCCGGCCCAGAAGGCTAGGGCAGGGAGTGCTACCCGCAGTGCCGAAGCACCAAAGCGTTAACTGATTAACTATTTTCTTAAAATATTTTTGGCCGAATTTAAATGAGATTAATAATAGATTTTATCAAAATCCATAAATAGCGGAAGCATAAATATATTACACAAGTAGTTGTGGATTTGAGTATTGTCAATACACATTCGAATTGCGGTAGCTGTCTTTAAAACTTGAACTTTTACATACTCCACATTTTGAATTATAGCTTAATTATTCTAAACAATATAGCTAATTAACGACCCAAATTTAGTAATTTATAATCTCATAATCATACAACTTAAAAATTTAACATACGTAGTACTAAATACTACTATACTTTTTAAACTTTTGAATTTTATTATAAAATTACGTTATCTCTAAATAATTATAATTTATCTCCTTTAAAATATGTTGGTAGATGTGGATCCAACTATAAAGTGTAAACACTCTCAGAAATCAGTAATTAGAAATCAGTAAGTTTGAAATTCTTTATTGACTTTAATTAATAGTATAGATATGTGTATACAAATATATACCTTGCAAATCAATATGTAATAATTTCCGAAAATGTCATTTCAAAATAGTTGGTGTTAAAACATACGAAGTATAGATAACTAGTCGCATAATGATGGGAAATAATTCCACTGTGTGTATATATATGCTTTTCAAAAATAATTACGTATCGTAAAACCATTTTTCCTGTTAGATATAAAAATTTCGAACTTTGGACTCATAAAATATCTTCCAGGTTTTAAAGATCAGTTCTATCTTATTAGCTAGAGTGTATTATATAAGAAATCATAGTCATTCATAGTGACTATGATTTCCTTATTATATACGTATTATATAAGAAATCATCTATTTTCAATTTTCATCCAATTACTAGTAAAGTATTCATAGTGAAATTCAATATCTTTATATTAGCTTGTTTCTCTCTAGCCTCTGCTTTGTTTTTCTAATGTGAAATAAACTCTTAACTTGATATAAAGTGCATTAAAAACAAAGCTAAGAACCCATGCAGTAACATTTCTCTTAAAAAAATTGACTTGCTTCTGAACTCTCTAATGGAACATACTCATTTAGCCTCCAGGCCATTCCTTAAAATCTATAATACATACATAGAAACACTCTCTTTTAAGGTTAACAAGAGTTGTAGTAATAATTCCTACGAAGTACTAGTATATGTTAACAATAATAGCGTTATCTTTTCTCAAAGAATTAATATATCTCAGCATGTAAATTAAATAAGAAACACTTTAATTACACAGTATAATAAAGTATAACAGTACGATTACTACGTAGAGCAATAAAAATGTCTAAAATAAGGAATGTAACTTTTATCATAATAGGAGGAGGAATGAACACAGGCCTCAAAATTTAGCGGCTATTTTCTCCTACTTCCCCTCCTTTTCTCCTCTTTTCTATCCTCACAGTTCTCTCCCTAACCTCAAAATTTAGCGGCTATTTTCTCCTACTTCCCCTCCTTTTCTCCTCTTTTCTATCCTCACAGTTCTCTCCCTAACTACCTTCGGTTGTTCTGTGTTCCTTCATAGTTGCCTTTTTGTTCATATTAAGGAGCTTTTCTAATTGTCTAAGCTTGTATCTTTAATTTAAATAAAGTGGCCGAGTTTATCCCCTAGGGTGGCCGAGAGGCTCATGTATATCTATAAATAATCCTGATCTGTCAATGTGTTGTTAAGTATAGCATGCATGTAGTTTTGTTTTCTTTCTTGAGTATAGTGGCCAAGTGTCCTAGTCTTAGTAATATTTAGCATGCATAATGCATTGCATATAGGTGTAGCTAAGTGCTCTCCCTTTTTAATATAGAAACCCAACACGTGTCCACAAAACTTGTATCACAACTTTTTCAATTCTATTGGACATATGGGGGCGGCAAGAGCAATTCAATGACCATAATTCCCTAGTTGTTAATCGGCATTACCAATCAATCGGCCACAACGTGAATTTTTATCAATCATCTTATATTAATATATTAGTTATTACTCGTATTATATATCTTTTAATATAGTTATTATATAAAATTTTATTTGTTTACTTTTGTGAAACTGGGGTTGTTACAACAACCGGCTATACCATATACGAACTCCTTAAATTGGATTTGAACTTATTGAAATTCTTTAAAGACCGGATTGGATTTGAGAAAAAGGGTGCCAACATCTACTATTGTAGCTCTTCTAAATTGGTAATTCTTCATCAAATTTCTGCATTTCTCAGTTCAGATTGTGTATGTGTCAGTGTGTATATGTAGCTCGACCAAGAGACCGGACGAAAGAGAACTCCTTTATTATAATACTACGTATATAGCTACAAGAAAAAAGAAAAAGAAATGTTTGTAACAGTTTTTGTACACATTTTGTGTACACCCCTAGTCTGTCCAACTAGGCAATTCTTTAAGAAGCTACTTTCAACAGACAATTAGGGGATGTATACAAAATGTGTACAAAAAATGTGA